AAGGCACTCGGTCAGTGTTTGCTGAGGGACTGAATGTAAGCAGTTTGAAGGCAAACTCCTTTTCCCTCTTTCCTCCAATGCTTACTAACCAGAATTCATCTGTAAGAAAGAACTGTCCATTCTCCCCCAGCCCATTTATTTATTAATTCAATTCTTACAGCACTTTGGATATTTATTTTATTCTATAGATTATAACCCAATACTAACATCACCTATCTTGTTCAAATTCTTTTAGCTTTGGCTGTTGGATGTGGTTTGGGTTTGCATCCTTTCTACAAGTCTGTATCCTTGACTGTGTATTTCCTACTTTCTGGCAACACAAGATGCTCCAAATTTACCTTGTGTTTTTGCTGCCCCAGGTATAAAATTAATGATTTCTCCAAGGAGCGTTTATTCCTTTTAGTGGAAAAAGGTATTAGAAACCAAGTCCCAGGTGCCGTGTGTGCCCACTGCTATTGGGGCACCATAGAATCCATGCAAACACACACATCTATATTTACTTCTGTATCTTCATCCTGTCCGACTATATATCTCTGTCTATGTACAAATATATAAACCGTGAATTAATACTGGCACTTCTGATTTCAACCCAGAACAATGTTATCCTAGTTTCCTGACCCCTGACTTGTTCGTAATTTCTTTCCCTGACTCAGAGGAATCCAGCTGCATCACCTACAATTTATTCACTCATTTGTTCAACCACAGTGTTCATATAAAGTGGCTACAGAATCGCTAACCTGAGAGAACCAGGTATTCTAACCGGGGTACAGCACTGGTGTATAGGTATTTTGGTTTGTAGCCCCACATCATCCGGTCCAAAAGCTGTTTTCCAAAGTTACTTAGATCAGCTCTTTTCTCCCCTTCATTTGCAGCACAGTCGGGTTCACATGCCTGCTTTCCACTTTGGGGGTCCCACCACATCCTGGTTGACGTTAGTTATGGTTTGAGGGACGTGAAACAAGACTATGATTGTAAGAGTCAGAGCTATTCCAAAAGGAATACTGAGAGGGTCACCCCCTCTTCACTCCTGCTACTGTTCCCACCCCCCATTCTTTAAACCCTTTCCCACCAGCCCCCTGTAGGTAACCAACCACCTGATGCTCTTAAGACCTGTCTGCCAACACCAGGAATTAAAGAACCACCTGCCAGGCCCTGGGCAGAGAACAGTGGGTGCCAAGGGGACCAAGACCTTGTCCTTATGCTCATGGGGCTCATGGTCAGGTGGGGGGACAGTCATGGGGCCAGGCAGTTATCACATGGGTCATTGGGTCCGTGTGGGAGAAGGATGCTGGAATAGCCTGACTGGGGGCCCCTGGAAAAATATGACCTGTGACTATGACCTTACTTGGAAAAAGTATCTTTGCATCAAGTCACAATAATAAAACATCCTTTTTCTCAAAAAAAAAAAAAAGTGTCTTTGCAGAAGTAATTAAGGGTCTTGCAATGAAGCCATCATCCTGGATTGTTCGGGCCATAAATCCAATGACTGGTGTTGTGGAGAAAGGCTGAGGGACATTGGAGACAGAGAGAAGACACAGACACACAGGGAGAGGCCATGTGAAGACAGAGGTTGGAGAGGCGTGGCCACAAGCCAAGGGACACCGCGGGCCACCAGAAGCTGGAAGAGGAAGGAGGGACCCTTCCCTGAAGGCTCTGGAGGGAGCACCTTGATCTCGGACTTCTGGCCTCCAGGAAAGGGAGAGAATAAACGTCTGCTGTTTTAAGCCACCAGACTGTGGTCCTTGGATACAAATATGAGGGCAACAGAACAGTGTTTGGGGCCGGCAAGGGCCATTAAGAAGGGCCAGTGCCACATAAACTACTTCCAAACACCCATTTTGCACCCATATCTTGGGTTTTGTTTGAAAAGTAAAGTGACTGCTGGGTGGGGGAGAGGCCATTCTTGGCCTGGGAGGCCCCTCCTGCATCACCCGGGGAAGCTCTGGGAGAGGAGTCATCTGTCCCTGTCACCTGGTGAGCAGCAGGATGGATGCGACACCGAGGAGATGCCAGGCACCCAGGTACTCACTTTTCCTGCCCTCGCCTCTGCGGGCTGCCATGTGTCACCCCTTGCATTGCCCGTGGCAGCAAATAATTCTTATTTTCTCCATTAATGGAGCAAAAGCACTAAGTAAATCTAATCCATAAATAACGCTCCCTGGAGCAGGTGCCAGCGCTCTGAGGTGTGTCCCCCATTCTCAGTCTCATTGGAGCAGGGGTGGCCTGGGGGTGGGGATGGAAAGGAGAAGGTACAGTGGGCAACGGGGAGTTGTGGGGGAGAGCAGACACAGAGATCTCAGCACTGTCATAAAAGCCATGAACATGACAACAGGGGTTAGAACCAGGACACCAAATCCGCTGTCCTTCTCTACACTGGCGGCCAAAGGTGGTGACTTGGTGGTGGTAGTGGGGGCAGCCTGCAGGGGTTAGACACCAGGCATGTTTGGTCCTCGGGCCAGCAGTCGGCAGGGTGAACAGAGGTGCCTGAGGCGTGGAGTGCAGGGATCTCCAATGGATGGGTGATGGATGGAGGGTCCATGAGGGGCCCTGGCCAAAGTCTTCTCTCTCCTCCGGCCATGCTCCTGGCGGGGGCAGTGGATGTTAGGGCTCAGGGAGCCTAATGGGAGCTTTGAGAGACAAGGTGGGTCTGGGCACTGAGGGCTGCCCCATGGGAGAACAGTTTTGTCATAGGCACAGAGTGGGCATGGAAGCTGCCACTTCCTTCTTACTCTACATCTGGGATGAGGACCACTCTTTCTATAAAGGGCCAGATGCTAAATACATCCGACTTTGGAAGCCAGGTGGTCTTTGTTGCTACTGCTCAGTCCTGCCATTGTAGAGCGAAAGCTGCCATAAATGATGCTAAAGGAAAAGGCGTGGCTGTGTGCCAATAAAGCTTTATTTATAAATATAAGTGGAGGGTCGGATTTAACCCAAGGGCTGCAGGTTGCCGGGCCTGTCCTAGGACAGGGGACTCAACACAGTGTGTCCCTGGGCCAAGTCTTTCTGATAAACTGTCCTTTAGGGGCTGGATCCATTTAAACGTCGTCTACTTAGAAGTCTCCTGACAGGACCCTGCCCCATTCTTGTCCTTCAGGGCACGTGTCTAAGATGTATTACTGGTCCCTGATGTTTCCATCCTCTACCTGCTTCCCTGGATTCTAAACTCCATAGGAGCAACGACTGTGTCTCCCTTTTGTTCAGCCATCTCCCCAGGTCCTGGCACAGGGCAAGTGAGAAGGCAATGTTTGCTGCCTGAGTCAATATTTCAGGGCTCAGTGCCCAGGTGACAGACCCCATTGGCTCCACATGACTGCACATTTGGGGACCCAGCCCAGCATCTTGGCCCTGGCTGCAGATCACAAGGGCCTGTCCCAAATTGCCTCCTGGTTTTACAACATCTCAGAGAACGATGGTAACAGTGGGCCATCTGCAGCCATACTGAGACCACCTGGGTCCACTGTCTGCAGGCCCCACCACAGGGCTGAGGACTGAATGTGCCCGTCGAGCCCTGGGCAGGCTCAGAGGACATTCACCTGTCTGGTCAGTGATGCAGCAGCTGTCCTGTAGCAAATAGAGAAACTGAGTCCTGGTGCTGTTGAGAAGATACTGGAGGCAGCAACTCCCTGAAAAGGAGGGTGTAAGAAGTGGGGTGAGGGTGGCTGTGGCTGGATGGAGATTTCATCAAAGGAAATCTCTGCTCAGGACACAACCACCCTGTAAGGATGCCCTTTCTGCGGACGAAAAACCAAGGCCCAGAGAGGGGTGCCCCTGGTCCAGGGGCCCCACGCTCGTCACTGGCTGCTTCTTCCCATCATCCTGCACGGACACCCTGGTGCCCAGTCCTGGGGTCCCCTTCTTACTTGTCCAGTAAATACATCACCTGTGAGCTGACATCTCCTGCAGGCCCTTCCCTGGCCCCCAAGCCTGCGTATCTTCACATGGGGGAGGACCGTGTTCAAATCTGAGCTGCTGATCTCTCCCCAACCCCAGTCTAACCATCCCAGCTCACGGTGGCAATGCCATCTTTCCAGGTGCTCAGTGCAGTCCCCTCCTCCCTGATTCCCAGCTTGTGCCCTTGCCCCCCAGGCTATCCTCCCTGCAGTAGCCACAGGGTGCCTGTGACCATCTGAGTCAGGCCCCATCCCTCCATCTCCCTCTGGGTAAAATCCTATTTGCAGGACCTGCCCAGTCACCTCCCTGTCCTCACTTCCTCCCTCACTTGCTCTGCTCCAGCCACCCGGGCCTCCTTACTGTCCAAGATGGCAGGCATAGTCCTGCCCCAGGGCCTTTGCACAGGCTGTCCCCCAGATATCCCCATGGCTCACTCTCATCTCCTTCAGATGAGAGTACAAAATATCCAGTAACAGCACATCCTACCCCGTTTCCCTTTGTTCTTTACATCACAGCTGACATTCCATACATTTTAGTTACTGTTTGCCTCTCCCACTGGTGTTAGCTCCTCAAGGGCGGGGATTGGACCTGCTACGTAGGCGCTGTTTCTCAGCTCTTGCTGGATGAGTGACACATTCACAAATGCCAGAGACCCGGCCTCATCCCAGGGCTGGGAGACCCCACTGTCTCGCATGCCCATGGACACCTACCACTCATGTGTCACAGGAACTGGGCAGAGGCTGAGAGGGCAGTGGGAATGGGCAGCTGCTGGCTCTGGACAAGAGAGGAGTCAAAGACAGAGGGTCCCACCTTGATTGTCTTGCAGAAGGGACCCACCTGTGCCACTGGGTTGCCCGAGATGGGGACTGGACAGCCTCTGGGGAGGGGCCTATGCAGATACAAGCTATAGACGTCCAGCTCAGAAAGGGACCGTATTCCGCCGTGGGGGTTGGGAGCCAGGCCAAGGGGCCGGGCTGTGGGCCACCTAGCCCCACACCCTGGGGAGGCCCCAGGTCTGTTCTGTCCCAGTAGGCACCCCTGGAGGAAGCCGCTGTCCCACCTCCCTGGCACCGATCAGAAATGAAGACACGCCAACCACACGGACCTGTAATCGCAGCGCTCACGAGCCTTTAATTCATTATAAACCTAGAGGCGGGGAAATTAGGCAAAAATACAGCATCCTTAATCTCAGGTGGGAAAAAATCAGGGTGGGTGGGTTTTGTTTTTTGTCTTTGCACATAGACACAGATATATCTTTGTGGGGAAATGTGCGTTTTGCTTTTGCTGTGCCATGGCCTGTCTACACAAGTCATCCCAGAACCCAAAAAGACGGTGAGACCCAGAGACCCCGCCCAGGGCTGACTACCCCTTGGACCTCGAGGGCCTCGGGGGCGTCTGCCCACTTCTTTTTATTCTCTTTACAATATAAATAGCATTTTCAAACTACATATGAATACAGTGACGGTACCACCAGGCGGGGCTGCTGCATGCAGTGGGAGACCCGCATTTCGGCTGGTTCCCCTCAGTACCTCCCGCCCCTGCCCACGCCGGGCACCTGCGCTCCCCCCCCAGCAAGGAAATTAAAGATTCTCGGCTCATTTACATTCTCTCCATTTTCCTTAAATAGTTCTCTCTGGCCTGGCCACTGTTAGAACACTTTTTTTTTTTTTGAATTTTTATACAAGCAAATTATGCTCTCAATCCCTCTGCAGGGGAGAGCCGGGGACAGCGGAGATGGAGAAAGCGGGCAGGCTGAACTGGGCTGTCTCCTTCCCAAGCCCATGAGCAGCACATTTTTTCTCTCTCCTAAATTCAACCCACAACTCTTAAGGGGCAGATTTCCTTCAAGTTGAAAGCAGCGATGCCCCCTCTGGCTTGCTCTCTCTCAGACACATAAATCCATGGTCGCAAACATGACTCAGAACGCTGCCAGGCCCTCGGGGTCCTAGGAAGAACCCCCTTATAACACAGGGCTGCGGCCAAAGCAGGGACACCTGGAAGCCTGCGGACGCAGGCCTGAGTAGGGAAACAGCTGGACTTGGGCCACCTGGGAGACCTGTCTCAGCTCCGTGTCCTCCCTCCCTGGGTCGCCATGTGCCCATCTGCTCCTGTGGCCGCAGGACGTCACCCACTCATGGGGCTCCCTCCCCCTGAGCAGGCCAAGGAAGGCCTGAGTGGCACTGGGGACACTCCGTCACCTGAGGCCTCAGCTGTGGAATGGTTCTCACAGGGGAAGAAGCAAAAGATGGAACAAACCAGGAAAGAGACTGTTTATTTGCAAAGGCTCGCAGACAGGAGGGAGGGTCCTAGACCCCCATGGCCAGCGCTCAGCCACCAAAGGGTACAGTCAGCCTCCGCCTGTCCCTCCTCCTGTCCAGCGACAAGAGGAACGGTGTTGGTGGGGACCAGAGAAGAAGTGCCAGCCACCCAGACCTTCATGAAGTTGGGCAGAGAGTGGAGTGAGGGGTTGGAGTGACAGGGTGTCCCTAGGGCTGGGCGTCCTGCCCGAGGCCCCAGCACCTCCAGGCCTCACCACACATCCCTGCCTGCTCACAGACAAGTAAGATTCTAAAACAACAACAAACAAAAAAACGAGATGCTTTTGTCTCCCTCAGTGTGTTTCGGTTCTGAGATAAAGAACGTTTTGTTTTTAAAGCCACAAATCTAGAAAACAACTTTGGGGATTTTTTTCCTTTTCTTTGTTTTCCTTTTTTTCTTGAGTTTTTTTTAAACAATAGGTATTTATAGAAAGAACCTCACAAAGGTGATTTATGTACAGAAGTCACAATCTCAAAGGCTGCTCAGGAGCAGGCAACGCAGTAGCACCTTTTCGAGAAGAAGAGCTTACGTGGTTTACGAATCTGAGTAGTGGGGATGGCGCGAGCCCCAGCCGGCCCCACAGAGCCCGTGTGGCCCTGCTCCCTGAGTCTGGGGGCCGCGTGCTGGCGTCCTGCTCGCTCCTGTCCTTGCAGAGCACGGAGGTAGCCTCTGGGGGCTGGGGAGGCGAGGACAGGAATTCACAGCAAGCAAACGCCAGGGCCCGCCGTCGCCTGCCTTGCTGGGCTGAGGGGTGGCCGGGTGGCCAGCTGTCCTAGAAGGGGGCTCCGGGACGGCACTGTGCCTGCAGGAGGCTCTCCATGAAGGCCAGGTAGTCCGGGTTCCGCCCCGAGTCTTCGGGGGCGTGCGGGGTGCCCACCCGTGGGCGCTTGGCGGCCTTCACCTCCTCTCCCAAGAAGACACTTTCCTGCGGTGCCCCCGTGCTGACTGACTGCAGAAGACCAGACAGCACAGGGGTTAGTGCAGAAAGGGGTGCTACGGCCTGAAAGTTTGTGTCCCCCCAAATTCCTATCCTGAAGCTCTACCCACCAATGTGATGATGTTAGGAGCTGGGGCCTTTGGGAGGGGATGAGGTCATGAGGGTGGGACCCTCATGAATGGGATTAGTGCCCTTATATAAGGGGCCCCCAGAAAGTGCACACTTGCTTCCCACCCCCCGTGAGGACACCAGATCTGCCAATGCCTTGACCTTGGACTTCCAGCCTCCAGGACTGTGAGAAATAGGCTTTGTTGTTTACACTGCCCAGTCTAGCAGCCCGAACGAACTGAAATAGGGGCTCCATTTGGGCACCTGGTTGGAGCAAATGCCCACCCTGCTTGGGTCCAAGGATCCTGGGCCACTGTCCCTCAGCCAATGACCTTCCAAGAGGGCCAGCCAGTCACTGGGGTGACCTCTCAGCATTCCTGTTTCTGTGCAAACCCCCAATCCTGTGTGCAAGTTTCCCAGGTGGGCACAATCTCTATACCCCAGTCACGAGCCCCCTAGAAGTGCGGGTGGCTGGCCTGGTCTGTCCCACCACATGGCAGCTGTGGGGAACAGCTGTGCCATGCAGAAGGAGGGAATGCGTGCGGCTGCTTGTCTGTCTGGCAACTCCTGTCCTTCCCCAAGGGAGCCTGGCGTCTGAGGTCAGCTGTGCGACCCCCACCACTCTTACTTTAAGCTCATTCACCGCCTGCTCCTCAAAACCTGGTCTTTGGATTAACACAGAAAGAAAGAAAACCGTAACTAGCCAGGAAAAACGGCAGTCACTTCCCGCCTCCGGGACTCATTGTTCCCTTTGAAAAGGGATGAGCTTTGGAAAAGCATTTCTTTTTGCACCGCCAACCCTGGAGCTCAGGTTTTGTGTGCTGGCGCTGGATGCGTCACAACGCGCCTGGCAGGCCTGCCGGTGCAGGTTTATCTCCTGCTGGGCTGTCACGGGGAAGGGCCAGCCCTCCAGCCTGCCCCCACCTGCTACAGAGCAGGCAGTTCCTGGGAGCTGCCCTCAGCTGCCCCCAGTGGGAGCAAGGGCCAAGGCGGGGAGGTCAAGGCCATGTCCTGGAGGACCACTGAGGGCTTCTGGGGCACAGCCTCGGCCTGGCTTGGCCACTTACCAGCCGCGACCGGACCCTCTTGGGCAGCTCCTCGTCCAGAGTGAAGATGTCACCACGCTTGACCGTCAGCTGGGACCCGTCCTCAAACTCCACCTGCAAAGTGGCACAGTTGTCAGGGGTAGTGCCTCAGCTCCACTGGCCCCCCCATCTTTGCTGAGATCCCATCACCCATGGTGGCCACTGCTGCAGAAAGTATCAGACAATCGGAGGACCCTTCCAGCTTAAAAATATAACAAGCCCCTGACCTACTAAGTTAGGGGGGCAAAGGTTGATTAGTCCCCAACAGGCATGTGCGAGAGCCCCAACCCAGCCTGCAAGGCCTCGCCTGCGTCCTGTATCTGGAAGACAGGGTCCTGCTCACCTGATAGATGTGACTGGTCACAGAGGAAATGAACTTGGCCTTGTAGATGTTGCCATCAGTCCACCGGAGTTCAACAAACTCCCCCTCGGGTGGAGGTCCCAGCCGGGCACAGTCTCTGCTCTGTGGAGGGAAGAACGTGGCAGGAGGTGAGGCAGCGGGGCCCTAGGCACGGGCGCCTGTGGCCTCTGTTGGGCTTAGAACCTCCCTATGCCATGCTGCCAGTGCTTTAATGGTAACAAAGCTCCCATCTGAGAGACGTTTGCTGCAAGGTCAGTGGTGCTCTCTGCCTGAACTCTGAAGGCAAACTGAGCAAACAGATAGGATCAGGTGTGTTGGGGGTCCCTGCTGTAGGCTCTAGACTGACAATGCTTTCTGCTCTGCTTCTGCTTCCCCTGCAGGTGGCCTAGGAACTGGACCTGTCCAGCAGGGTCCCAGGTGACCCATGTGAGAGACTGGGCTTCCTAATGGTAGCCCCCGCCCCGTGCCTGCCCGAAGCTCACAGTGATGCTCTCTGGGTAAAGGTTGTCACTGTAGGACCCGTCATCAAAGTTGACTTCGTAGAAGGTCTGCGTAGTGGTGCCGATGACACGGCACCGGTAGTAAAGCCCGTTGCGGTTCTTGGTGATGACCACCTGGCCTAGGGACACGGCCCTCAGGAACTGAACCTGGGGGCCGAGAGAGATGCATCAGAACAAGGGCAGGTGGCAATGGGAGGGAGCAGAAGGGAGGGCCGGGCACTCACGGTGTGGCCCCCCGACTTGTGCTTGAAGCAGGTGATGGAGACGACGTAGGGCCAGTCGTCAGGTTCCATGAGCACCCCGGCGGCATGGGCACAGGTCACGTGGAAGGAGGTGGAGCAATGCTCGCAGGAGCACTGGATGCAGGCGCCAGACACCTTCTTCATCCGCTTTCGGCAGTACACGCATTTCTGGGGGACCATGAGAGACCATGGGGCTCTGGCCAGCACCTCTGACCCAGGGGCTGGGAGCCCTCCCACCTGGAGTGAACCCCGAGAGCCAGGGCTGACAGGCAGACCCCAGCAGACTGGCCTTGGCTGGAGGCACCCTAGGAAAAGCCTGGGGAACTGACTTGGCCAGAAATCTTGACCATGGCAGACAGCCCCCCAAACCACCCCGGGCTGGGTCTGCAGGCCCACCAACCTGACCTGTGGCTCCCTGCCAACACCCAGGATTCTTCTATGCTCCCCCTCTCTGCAGAGCTGCCTGGAACAGGCACCAAAGAGCCACACAGTGAAATACAATTTAGCCCCCAAAAAGCATGAAGCACCAAAACTTGCTACAACGTGGATGGACCTTGAACACACGGTGCTCAGTGAGAGAAGCCAGACACACAAGGCCACTCAGTGTGTGATTCCATTTACATGAAATGTCCAGACCAGGCAAGTCCACAGAGACAGGAAGTGGTTTCGTGGTTGCCAAGGGCTGGGGAGGAAGATGGGGAATGACTGTTGATGGGGAGAGGGTGTCTTTTGGGGTGGTGGAAAAGTTCTAGAATTATAAGTGATAGTTGTCTAACTCTGTGAATATAAAAACGCCACTGAATTGCTCACTTTAAAACAGCAAATTTTATCAAGAGTTCTGAAGACAAGGCATCGCAGGCTAACCTCCTTCATAAGGAGGAGCATCTGACAAGTTCTTTCACGCCAGTCAGGGGGTCCGTGTGGTGGAAATGCCCCCCCTGCCCCAGGTGACCTGCTCCTGAGGTGTCAGCATCCAGGGCCACTCCCACGCTCCCAGCTCAACAGTTTCCAGGCCCGCGGAAGCCTGTCACTCTGGGCATTTAATAAGCGACTTTTTTCGCTCTGTAAACCATGTTCAAAAGCCAGATAAGCACCATGGCCAAGGGCGCCGCCGAGCCAGTCGATGGCAATGAGATCTCATTATTAAACTGTCAATACCTAATTCTCCCGCCGGCCTGCGGGCCGGGCACTGACATACAACACGCTCTGCAGGCGTTAATCTTCACATTAAGGGCCTTCCGCAGAGCAGGGGTAAGCACAGCCGCCCCAGGCCCCAGAAGGAGTGGTCCTTCCTTGAAGCCAGCAGTGCACACTCTCTCTCGAGCACACGTCACCTGCCCCACCGCAGGGGCCCAGAAGAAATCTGCCAGCCAAGCATGACGCTCAGCACGAGTCATTTCCCACCATGGGCGGCAGCTCAATATTCTGGGTTTCTGAATCATGAGGACTGTGGGCCAGGCCCCCAACGTGCCACTTGTCAGGAGCCCAGCACGGGGCATGTCCAGTGTCTGGGTTTTTCCAGGACCCAGCCCAGCCTAGGGAGGGGGTGAACGCATGGCTCAGGTCACCAGACAGGTGGGGCCGGCCCCCATTCACCAGGACCCTGCATCCAGAAAAGTCCTGCAGATAGATGGATGGACAGTGACCAGAAGTGACTGTCCATGAGCCTGAGGCCTGTGTGTGACCCCGGGAAGGTGGGTGGGCAGCTGGGAAAGCAGGAGTTAACCGCTGGCTTCCTTACGCGGGTCCATTAGGCAGTACAAGCGAGCCTCGTGTAAAAGGATTTTTAATTCATCGTTACAAGTGCTGGTAATGAAGAGGCTGCAAGCTGGAAATGTCAGATGATCCATAAAGCGTCTGGGGGGAGGATGGATCACGGGCCGTGTGCCGCACCATCATTCCACCTGAATGATGAAGCCTTTCACGCCAGTGACCACCTGCAGGCCGTCAGCCCCTGCCTGATGGGCTGTCTGTGCCTGGCCGGGCTGGCACTGGCCCCCAGTGCTCCAGGAGCAAAGCCCCCGACCCCACAGGCTCCCGCCAGTGCCCACTCAGCCCTGCCTGGTGGCGTTGCCCCCGCGGGCTCGAGGCTGAGTGTCTCTGTTCCTTCCCACAAGACTTCCCAGCAGGCCCACTGCCCGCAGACCGATTTCTCTGCCTCTTGCCCTCCGTGGGCCTGGAGGAGTGTCAATACCCCCTACTGGCCCAGGCAGCTGGGAAATAAAAGGGGCAGGAAAAGCAGCCAGGATGCCGTCAGATGCGCCGGTTAAGGGCCCAGCCCCCAGGTGCTATGCAACTCCTCCCTGTCAGAGCTGCTACTGCCACATCCCTGAGTGGGGACGCATCCCCAGTAAGGCTGCCACAAACTCACAGCAATCATGAACCTGAGGGCAGGTGCTGGTGCTCAGACAGCATGATCGGTGCTTTCCAGTGAGGCCCAGTTAACGCGTACCACGCAGGGGACCCTTACAGATAGCAAGGCTGAAGCATAGAGAGGTGTGGAGTCACAGTGTTGGCCGGTGGCCAAGCTGGGAATGGAAGCCAGCTCTTGTACATGGTTATTGATGCTCCCCAGGGGTGACCATTATCAGCGAGAGCACGCCAGTCGAGGATGGCCACATACTCCTTAGAGGGGGGAGATCTACCTGCACCAAGAGGGGCCAAAAATTCAACAGAAAACACACAACCTAATTTAAAAATGGGCGAAGGACCTGCATAGACATTTCTCTAAAGAAGACACATAGGTGGCCCACAGGTACATGAAGAAGTGCTCGAGACCACTGATCACCAGAGAAATGCACATCAAAATCACGAGGAGGTCTCATCACAGGCAATCATCAAGATGAGAGGTAACAAGTGCTGGCGAGGACGTGCAAAAATGGGACCGTCCTGTACTGCTGTGGGATGTCAACTGGTGCAGCCACTATGGAGAACAATATGGAGGTTCCTCAAAAAATTAAGAAGAGACACGTGCCCCAGCAACTCTACTTCTGGATATATATGCAAAGGAAATGAAAACAGGGCATTGAAGAGGTATCTGCAGCCCGTTCACTGTGGCGCTTACTGGCCAGAACATGGAAAGAACCCATGTCCTCTGGCAGATGACTGGGTGAAGAAGCCGTGGTTCATCCACACAATGGAATATTATTTAGCCATGAGAAAGAAGGAAATCCTGCTGTTTGAGACGACACAGGTGGACCCTGAGGGCGTTACGCTCAGTGAGAGAAGGCAGACGCGGAAGGACAAGCTGCAGGAGTCCACTGATATGAGGGCCACACAACAGTCAGACTCTGAGAAGGAGACGAGAGGGGTGGGGCTGGAGGACCGGGAGTTGCTAGTAACAGGGACGATCTCAGTTACACACGCTGGGTATATTTTAGAGCTCTGCCATACAATGCAGTGCCTATAGTTAACAAAATACTGTATTGTGCACTTAAAAATCTGTTCAGAGGGACTATCTCATGTTAAGTGTTTTTACCAGAATTTTTTTGTTTTAAAAAAGGGGCCCATTAGATAATGAGAAAAGTACAGGGCAGAGTGCATGTGGCTTCTGCTTATGAAAAAGGTAGGAACTGGCCCCTAGTATGTGCAAAGTGTTCGAAGGGCATCTCTGCACAGAGATCAGGGAGCTAGAAGCCCACTGTGCCCGCAAGGGGAGGCTTGCTTTTCTCTGGGGACCTCTGTGCCTTCTGACTTTTGTACATGCGCCTTTGGGACCTATTCACGAATAGATGTGGCCAAACTGAAATGGGTAGCGTCTGGATTCCTGGCATTGGCTGCCCCGCCGCCCTCCACCCCACCGCCCGCCGCACAGGGCAAGACTCCAGGGGACCAACCAGCTTCCACCGCTGCTCCGGGATGGCGCTGATGTCCACAGGGTGGCGCTCCATCACGTTCAGGAACCGCACTTCCGGTACTGCGATCGCGCAGATCACGTGGATCCACCTGGGGGGAGGGTCAGGGGTCATGGGTGTGCCCTGCCCCCAGGGTCACCTCACTGTGGCCATTGCCCCTGTCTGTGATGCTGCTGTACACACCCAAGCGTGCAAGCAGCGCCCCTTGCACCCACCTCTTGTCGGTTGTCATCTGCAGGGCTCCTCCCCGGAGGTTGCACAGGCAGCACTCCTAGAGGGACCAGACAAGCGCAGGGTGAGGGGTGCATGGGGCAGGGCTGCCCCCACACTGCTCCAGGACCTGGTCCATCCCCTGCCTGCAATCCTTACATTTCAAACTAACGGCCACCGCAGGGATGGGCTGGTAGTGCGTTGGGCTCCACCCCCTCACCACTGAGGAGATGAAACCAAGACCCAGGGAGGTGAGGCTACCAGCCCAGGGTCACCCTTAGGGATCACAAGCCTGGGGCCTAGGCCTGGCTCCCCCATGGGGCTGGACAGTTCTCAGAGCACCACCCCAGCTGCAGGGGTGCGTTACCGCAGTCCAGGCGTGGGCCGTACACCGGGAACACGTCCAGCCTTCGTTGACCAGCTCGGGTCGGATGCCGTAACAACCTGGAAGGCAGCAGAGGGATGCATCTGTCACCGTGGCTGCACCAGAACTTAACAGAACCTTCTGGAATCCAACCTCAGCACTGAGGGTAATTGCTCTCATTGCCCTTTCTACCTCAACCCAGGCCACTGCACATGGAGCGGGAGAAAGGTCTGAAAACAGGTGCTGGGAAGCGGGCAGGGCCTGCTTGCAGGAGCCCCCACTGGGCCTGCTCAACCTGGGCCCCTCGCTGCCCCTCACTCAGGCTCTGCTGAGAAAGTGACCAAGAAGGTGTGTGACATGCAAAGTGGGCCTCGTGGACACTGGAGTTTGGAGTGGCGGGGCTGGGTGGGCAGGCCAAGTGTTCCAGCAGAACCATTACTTTTGAAAGCCCAAGTCAGAGGCGCTGGGTCATCAAGGCAGTTTGCTGTAGAATGTGGTCATAGCTCAAAAAGGGGGAGATGGCACTGAGGAGGGTGCCGACAGAGGGTCATGCCCCAGGGTGAGGGGCTCTGCCTCACCCTGGGGTCACTGCCCAGCAGGGCAGCAGAAAGGTGGCTCTCTGTCCCTATGGAGGCTCCAAGGGACAACAAGGTGCCCAGGAGCCTGTACTAGACCCCCTTCTCTGCCCCCTAGGGCACTCAGCCAGGGTCAGGGTCAGGGCTGGGTGTGCGGGGGGGGGGGTGCTGGCTCCTGGAGGAAATGGAAGCTCCCCCCCCCTCCAGAGCCAGGACTCAAGGAAGACGTCTGTGTGAGCCTTCTGCGTCTCAAGGTCAGTGAGCAAAGCGCCTCTCCCTCTGCGCCCCCTGACTGCAGGCCTGTCCAGAGTTATCCCCCAGGAGCCTGCCCAGAGCACATCTCACACCAGGCCCAGCAAGAACGAGCCAACAGGCTCCCAGACAGGAGACAAAAGGAGCCCAGAGCAGCCTCTGTGGGGACAGAGGGACAGAGTCCTTCAGCTGCCTTCCTCTGTGGAGGGGCAGGCGGCACATGAAATTAAATGGCTCCAGGACCGTCCTTCCTTCCTGGAGCTCAGTCTCCCATTCCCTGCCCCTCACACCCAAGAAAGGGGAAGACATCCATTCTGCTATCTTGGGCTACTGTCTGGGCTTCAGGGTCTGGGGGCGGGTGGCCACTGATGGCAGAGATAAATCAGACTCCCAGGCCACTCTAGAATCTCAGCTTTAGTGTCCCTCTGGCTGCAAAGCACAGAGTTTAAAAACCGTCATGGTACCTGAGGGGCACCCAATCTTCCTGCTGCCTCCCAGGCCCTGGAGGCAGAGCAGGGCTCAGCAGAACAGTCCTGAAGGAGGCTGACCACGCAGGCCCACCTTGGCCAGGGGGCAGGGAGGACATCTGCCCCTGAAGGCCAAGACCCCATCCCACGGCGCCAGGTCTGGGGGGACACAGCCCGAGGCAGCAGCCCAGGTAGAAGGGGCTCCCTGCTCCCCAGACATGGTGAGCAGAGGCTGGGCCCTGCAGAGCCCGCAGCCCCGCGGCTGCCTGCCCGTCGCTCAGCCCGCACTCACTGGCGTGGACCTGCAGGCAGCACTTGGCACAGGTGATCAGCAGGCTGGTCCCATCGTCGCCGATGTAGGAGTTGGCAGGGAGCGGCTCCGTGTTCTCGGCGCTGGAGGTGAAGCACATCTCGGGGATCAGCGGCCGTGTCTTCTGGCCGCTTTTGGAAGGTGGTGCAGAGGAGCCCTCCCCAAGGGAGGCCTGGGGGGCCTCCTTTTCGGTCTGTAGGGACTGAAGAAGGGGCGTGCCTTTAGTGGAGAGCCCAGCTTGGGGCCACCTGACATTGTTAAACCAGGCCACGCGAGGCAGTCCTTGCCGCTGCCCTCCACCCACCCCTCACGCAGCTTCTATGTCCACACAGCCCCAGCCTGCTTCCCACCTCTCTAGCCACTGCACTGCTACCTCCTACCAGGACACCTGCAGCTGCCCCAGAGGGTGTCTCCAGGGCACCCGCCCCACCCTCCCAGCCCCCACCCTGCTTCCCCCAATAGTCAGATCCTGTACACGGGGGTCACAGGACACAGACCTCGGGGGCAGCTCAGCTAGTGTGTGGAAAGCGCCGGGAACTAGACTAGGAACAGGGGACCCACAAAGGCAAGTGAGACGTGGCCCTGTCCTCCAGGAAACTCACAGTCCAGGGACTGATTAACACAGAGGCCAATAAGCAAGGGCAGAGGAGGGCAGGGCAGCCTAGGGGGCTATCCCAGAGCCAACCTGGAGACAGCAGGTCTGGGAAGGCTTCCTGGAAAAGGTGGCAGATGAGTGGACTTAAAGAATGAACAGAAATCTGTCCGGCAAGGCAGGGGGCTGGGTGGGTGGGAGACCCTGGGGGACATCACCGAAAACACTGCTGCTGTGTGGGGTAGGGGAGGATGGGAGATGTCACAGCTGAGGAAGGCCGTGGGGTGGGGACATGTGGCCAGGCAGGGGGCTGTGGGGAGCCTGGCGGAGTCTCCAGCCAGGGAGTACATGACCAGAGTGGCCTCCCAAACGCCCAGTCTGGCCACAGTGAGGCGCTAACAGGAATGGGAGGGAAGCCTGAACCAGAAGAGAAGGCTGAAAGACAGGCACTGGTCAGGGTGCGGGGAGGGCCACAAGGGGAGAAAGTGAGGTTAAGCGGAAAAGTGGGCAGTACCTGGCAGCTGATGGCACAGGGCAGAGTGCAGGCAGAGGCCCAGCTCCCAACTTGGGAAACACAGGACAGACAGGTGCCTGGTCTGGAACGTATAGGACGCTGGGTGCCTGGCTCAGAGGTGTTGGTGCCCCAGCAGGGCCATATGAGGTCTTTGCCTTGGTCCCAGCCTGCCTCTGGGACTCGGCCGGTCACAAGCCACCCCCTCTGGGCCCCCAGCCTGCGTCACCCAGGACATGCTGAGGAGCTTTCTGAGGACAATGACATCTCCATGTTGTCTCCCCACCCCTCTGTCAGATGTCCCATTTTTGTGCTCATTGACAAGTCACCTTCAGATAAAACTCAGAAACTGGGCCCTCTCCCTACAGCCCTCACAGGGGGGGCTCCAGCATGCCCTGTACCGCCAAGGGTTCCTGTCTGTCACACTGTGGCTGTCCCGTCCCTGCCTGTCCCACCCCCGGCCTCCAGGCTCTCAGCTGATCCCACTGTGGCTTCTACAGCAATAGATTCTTCGTCCCCATCACCGGTCCCAGAGTTCCCTTCAGGCAGAGCAAAGGCTGGTGCCTGTAGGAGCAGACACTGCCCCGGCCCCATGTGGCCCTGCGAGGCCCTGCGTCACCTGGCTGTATGGGTAGAAGAGAGTGCAGATGGCGCAGTAGGGTTCAGTCAGGGCGGCCACTGCATTGAACTTCCTCTCGGCCTGGAAGCTGGCCGCCTTGTTCTTCCACTGCAGGGACAGCAGGAACCTCAAGGCCTCAGGGTCACTCATGTCCTCCTCCCCAGAGAAAGGGAAGGCTTCTAGAGTAGAGAGTGTGGGGAGAGAAATATCAGCATGGTTAATTTGTGTCTGAGGAGCCTGCCTCTCCCTAACAGGTGTTACTGCCACAAGCATTCATGGTGACAGGTCTCCACTTCCATGGCCCCTGAGCCTCTCTGCAGAGGGGGGCCCCTGGTTCCGTCTGGGGCAGGCGACAGGCTGGGTCAGACCTTGGCTGGTCACATGTCGACTCCCAGAGCTCAAAGGAGCCAAAAGAGGAGCAAAGCTGCAAGTCAGAGAGGAGGCACTGATACCCCAAAATCCTACTGAGATGCAGTGGAGGCCACTAAATGTGTCTCCCACCCCAGCCTGTCACCACCTGGCCCCTTCCAGCTTCAGTTATCAGCCCCACCCCCCCATGTCCCATTGCTGCATTTCCTGAGTGAAGGAGGTTCAGTGCTCCCTGGGAGCCTGCCCTGAGAAGTGGGGTGCTCACTCCTGAGGCCCCAACCTTCACAGCAGCTGGGCCAGCACAGCTGATACAACAGCCTTTCTGACTGTAAGGCCAAGGCCCCCCTGTAGAGGGGCCTCGGGCACGTCTGGTCTCCCTTGGGACCGCTTCCATTCCTGGTGGTGCTTCTAGAACCCTCTTCGCCCTAGCCCTCAAGTTAGATTCAGAATGAAAGAAGCCATCCGGACAATTTTCAAATTCCATGTGCATCTTAAACGGAAAGCTGAAGTAGAAGATGAAAAATTAGCTTTGCAGGGTTTCTGCCCACGATATAGGGGCTCTCTCAGCTGTGTGTTAAATAGAAGCTTCTTGTCTCCGCCCCTCCAGCTCCAGCTCCCACAGCCTACTGTTCCAACCTCTCTCTCCTGGGCCCATGGCCAGATCAGCACCAGGAAGAGTCACTTCTGCTGTGACTGGCCACCCCCAGCCCTGTGTCACCCACCCTCGGCCGGCCCCTAATAATGGGGGTGGGAGATGACATAAAGGTTTCCTCTAGTCACACAAGCAAATAGGAGCTGCCCTCTGCACCTCCACGCAGCACAGTGCTGCTTCCATGGGCACAGGGACCACAGAGCTAGAACATCTGCTGGAAATGAACTTGGAAATGAGCTTGTTCTCAGGCCTTGCGCAGCTCTGTAACTGAGTCTATTTCTCAAACCTCAACTTGAGGGGTGCGGCCACACTCTGCCCCTTGCTCACACAGGGCACAGGAGGGGCCGGCCCTAGGTGGCACACCTGGGCTAGGTGCATCTTTCCACTCATTGTCCTATTAGCCTGCTCTGTGAATGTTCTGGAAGCCCAGGTCTGTGCCTGCCATCTGAGCAGATCCAGTGGCTGTGGGAGGATGAAGCAGGACCCTCGCCCAACTGGGGAGCCAGGTCGGTGTGCAAATGCACAGGGGCCACCAGAGTGGGGGTGGGAAACTAGCCATCCCAGGCCTGGCGGCAGGAACTGCGTCTGCTCAGAGGTGGGTGGCAGAGAGCAGCCATGCTCCAGGTCAAAGTCAGCAACAGTCACAACAGTAATGACCTCCCCTCAGCTCTTCGCACCATCGTCACGGGAACCCGGGGAGGGCCAGCAGCCCCTACTGTACAGGTGGAGAAGCCCAGTCACAGGAAGGTAAATGGCACTCATGGTCCTGGGTTCCAGGCAGTAGACTATGGTTGGAGCCCAGGTGGGCCATGGCCTGTCCCTCACAGGCCACATTTTAATCTTAGGCCCTGGGCCCAGCACAAATGAACTCCCCACAGTGGGAAACAGCAGATGGGGTTGAGGGGAACAGAGCCTTGTGATGGTCCAAGGGGGGGCCCTGAAGGCTGAGTAGGGAGACTGTGTGTGGGGCTGGGTCTGAGGGCCTGACCTGAGGCAGTGGCGGGGGAGGCGCTGGGTGAGAAGAGGTGGCCACACACAGCCGGGGCCCAAACAGGCAGGGGACGGCATCCTCACTCACCCTCGTCACTGGAGGCCTCCTGCTTGACCACGGACAGTGGGGACCTGGTTGGCGGCTTGCCCAGAGGGTGACGCCGACTCTTCTTGATCTCCATCTTCAATTTGGAAAATGCTGACGGTGACTGAAACACAGGACAAGAGGTGTCTGTGGGGCGCAGCTCTGAAATGGGAGTAGAGCCCAGCTCAGCAGTGCCTCAGTTTCCCCAGTCGGGGGTACGAGGCCCCAGGAAGAGGTGGTGGGAGCCACTGTGGTTTCTAAGCCATGTGCATGCCACCAGCTTCTGTGACGAGCCTCGGGGCCATTTTGTGAGATGGGATGCTATGGCCGGTGCCCTACCTGCATCTCGCCAGCTGTTCTCTCCTCCTCGGGCCCCGTCAGCTCCATGGGGGCCACCTGCTCCTTCCAGGTGGGGCCCTTCTGGGCAAAGTGCTCAGATGCCTGCTGGCAGGACACTCGGCCTTTGTCACATGTGGCTGGGCTGGCGCGTGGCACCACATACAGCATGGGGATGATGGGGCGCAGTTTCAGCTCCGGCTCTTCACCAGGTGCCTCGGGAGGCACGACGTTGAGGGGCGGCGGCAGGGGGCTCTCCGCAGCGGCCACAGGACTGGGGGTCAGCACCGGGGGCTCCAGTGGGGGTGGGGGTAGCTCCTCCGTGGGGAACTGAGCGAGTGCAGGCGGCGGCAGTGGCGGCAGAAGTGGGTGGCGAGAGTGCAGGGGGCTGTGGCTCTTCTTCTTCCGGTCAGTCTTGGCCTTCGCCGGCCGCAGCTTGCCCCGCCCGTCCTCTGTGGGGAGAGAGGGGAGACGAGTCAGGGCTGGACGCCCCTGGCTGAGGTGGGAGATGGCTAGAGATGGCAGAAACCCCCTCTGGCCTTGACCAAAAGAACACAGGCTTTGGGCAAGTTCAAACCACAGCCAGGTCATGCTGCCAGATGGCCAGAAACCAGTCACACCCGAGCCATGGGGGCGCCTGCGCCCCCGCCTCCCCGTCCAAGTTCTGCAGGTGCTCAAAGCACCTTCTAGATTAGCATGAGGTGGTGGAAAGAGACACGTCCTTTCTGAGCAGGGGGCAGAGGCAGATTTGTTTTCTTTTCAGATATCTGAGTTTTGTATATTGCTACAGTAAATACATACAACTTGTAGACATTTTTTAAAAGCAAAGACTTGTGCCGGCCAAGTGGCACATTGGTTAGGAGTTGGCTTGGGAGCCAACTCTGAGCAGCAGGGTCCCAGTTCGGATCCCACATGAGGGCCAGTGACACTGCCCTCTACAGTTAAGATGGTGAACAACAGCTCGACCTGGAGCTGGGCTGCTGTGAATTGCTGGTGATGGCATAGGCTGCAGTGGGGCTGGCCGGCAGCGGGCGTGAGCTTTCGTGAGCTGCCATGCGCCGCCGTGAGCGGCCGTCCAATGGCCAGCAAGTGATTGCTTCACTTGGGAAGAGCGCAACGATAATACCAACATGGGTCAGTGAAGCGAATTCCTCCACAACTAGACTGAAGAACAAAAGGACAGCAACTTGTCTGTTCCCCTTTCCCCGATTCCCTAACGCTGTTCCCCTCCCCCAATTCCCCAATAAAATCTTTAAAAAAGCAAAAAAAAAAAAAAGCAAAGACTCAAACAATAAACCATAAACAAGCAGTCGCTTGAGTGGAACACAAGAGCCAGATGGGCCTGAAGGGCCTGGAACACCCTTCCACTTCCACGGGCCAGCACGGGAGCACTTCCTGACAGGTGACAGGGTGGGGTGGGAGGCAGGCAAAGCGTGTCTTCAGGGGCATTTTGGGGTCAGGACGGATGTGTGGGCAGCAGAATCATGGCCCCCAAAGACCTCCACATCCTAGCTCTGGGACCTGTGAATGTGGAACCTGACACAGTGACATGACTTTGCAGATGGGGTTGTGTTACGGGAGACGGTCTGGGTGGACCCAATGTACTAACAGTGGTCCTTACAAGCAGAGGCCCTTTCCCAGCTGTGGTCAGAAGGAGGAGCTGTGAAGAAGGGTCAGAGAGACGATGACGATGGAGAAGGGGCCATGAGCCCAGGATGCAACGACTCTGGAAGCTGGGAAAGGCAGGAAGTAATTCTCCCTGGAACCTCAGGAAGGAACAAGCCCTGCCCACACCTGGGTTTAGCCCTGTGAGACCTGTGTGAGGCTTTTGACCTCCAGGACTGTCAGCAAATAAATTTGTGTGGTCACTGTCACGCCAGCCCCAGGGAACTCTGCAGGTGGTGACCTGTGTGAGGCCTGCTGTGCTCAGGATGAGGTGCACACAGCATCAGGGGTCCTACTCTCAAGGATGACAGACCTGGCAGCAGCCCACCAACACGGAGCCTGCAGCACAGCCAGCCCTGGAGCTCTTAGGCCTTGCCTGCCCTGTATGGAGAATGAGCACAATAGCTCAGGCCCCCATCCGCGAATCCCAGGTCCCCAGGGGTTCAGAATGTCATAGACGAAAGGACACCAGCTGGAAACCAGAACAACCATCGTGGTTGTCTGGGAACGAGGGGTTCCTGGACAACTGGGGACGAGGGGTCATCCTGCTGACAGGACTCGTGAGGCCCAGTGGTACCTGTGCTTGAAAGTCTCGGGTTAGGAAAATAAGGACAAATGGAGGGCAGGCATCTGTCCCTCTCCAGGAGAAACTGGTGGCAATGAGAAGCGTGAAGAGTTCTGGTTTGCAACATGGCATCTACGTTTTATCTCTTGCTATAAAAACTTGTCCATATGTCATCCCCATTCCTCAGCCAAAGATGACGGAACAAGTGCCCATGACCTTGGGTGAGGGTTTGTCACTTACCCCGATCTGCACTGACCCCAGGAGGGGATGAATCAAGGACACCCACCCCCACCGCTGGCAGACACCAGCCTGGAGTGTTGGCAGGAGCCGAATCGCCGCACTCACCCCCCATGGGGGCCAGGCCACAGGAAGCTGTGTGGAGGCACCCCAGCTCCCCTCCTCCCATCTGCACGCTGCAGCACTGGCTGCTGGGATGGGCCCATGGTGTTCTTGGCGAGCACACCCTGTGTTTTTCAAGAGAGGCTCCATCAGCGAAAAGGCGACAGGACCACTTGCCCCTGCCCTGGCCCCGTCCTCCAGTCCTGAGGATGTCTCCCACACCTCCGCCTCGCCTGGAGCAGCCCTGACCATTCCCCAGGTCTCCCCTCCCACCAGCTCCTCATGAATCTGGCCAAGTGATATGGCCAAGGAAAGCAAATAATAGACTCTCCCTCCCTTCCAGAAGCTGGAGTTGGATGGCACCCCAGAGACGTGGAGGGGGAGAGAGGCGGAGGGGGAGAGACATGGAGCATTACTCGGTAATGCTCGGTAATGGCAGCATGGCCCCAGAAGGTGACCGAGGGACCCTGGAGATCAGTGGCCCGGGCAGTGCTGGGGCTAATTTACAGAACCAATGTTGAGGCTGGCCTAAGAGTCCGTCCTATTTGTGTAAAAGGCACTTTCGGATAAACGGTTTTGTTCTCTAAGGAAATTCAATACTCCTTCCTCCCTCGTAGTGCAAACTATTGAAAATCACACTGTGTCTCTCAGCCTGAGGAGGGCAGGTTCAATTTACTCTCCGTGCTGGAAACTACTGTCAAATACAGACAAGCTCCAGTCTCTTCCTCAATCTCCCCGGCTCTGGAAAGCCGAGGGGGGCACACACTAGAGAACGCTTTAGGGGACAAGCCCAGGCCAGGAAGAACACCTGAGTGCTCTGGGCTCTGTCCTCACAGTGGGGACCCCCACAGCCCCCACACAAAAGCCATGCTATGGGACTTCAGTGAGCCCCCCCCACCTGCTGGGGCCTGAGGGAGCCTCGAAACAGAGCAGGGACATCACACGCAAAGTGCTGAGAGTCTCAGCCAGTCCCTCCCCGGCAGGTGGGGCCTCCCACATCCTGGAGTGTGGGATACAGGGTGGGCTGAATGGCAGGGACCCCCACTTGCAGCAGACAAGCTAAGGCCCTTCTATTGTAGTACTTTCTTCAGGGTGGGGGGATGTCACAGCTAAGACCCTTTCACTGTTGGATTTTATCAGCCTGCCTGGTTCCTTGGGGTCCCCACACCTTCACTACGGCACCAATGTTCCCCCAGGGGAGGCATGGAGAGCCCCTGGGCGCTCTGGGCTCCCAAACTCAAACCCTGCTGTATGCTGGCCACAGATTAGGGGGTGGTCTCGTGACTGCGGCCTGGATTAGGGACACTACGACTCCACCTCCACTCCTGCCCAGCCTGGGTGAGCTGGTCCTGGTCCCCATGGTCTGGGCCGCTCCTGCCAACTCCGCATTCTTCCTGTGCGGAGCCTGAGGCAGGGCACGCCGTGATGGTACGCGAGGCCCGGCTGGACTGAGCTGGGGGCACGTGTCCTGTTATGACAGGATATGTCCCTGAGTGAAATTTGCAGCCTCCTTGTAATGGCCCAGACCATCTGCACCTTTGCTGTCCTAAAGCTAATGACAAGCTGTCAGGCCACTCCTAGCACCGGGTACTCCATGACAAGGACTGCCCACGGCACCTCCTGCCTGTGCCCCTGGGCCCGCCAGTCTCCTCCAGGCTCTGGGAAGCCTCAGGGTGGGTCCCCTCTGACTGCATGCTCTGCCTGGGAGGCAGGATGGCACTGTGGTGGACCAGCCCTCCTGGGTCCTGGTGTTGCCCCCACTGCCCCCCATTTCCTAACCTGTGAGAAGCAGTGTCTGTGCCCAGCAATAGGTGGGGCGAGTGCCCTGTGAGATGGCCATGGCCATGGCCATGCAGAAGGGAGCCCCTGCTGTCCCAGCAAACCATGGTTGACCTTCCTGCCTTCTGCCCGGGTCAGGAGTGGGCACCAGGGACAGAGGGAGGCTGCCGATCCATCTCAGACCACCTGGCAGTTGGTTTGGGGTTGTGACACTGGCAGCGAGTCAGGGAATCGGCCCCCCAGGCCTGGCACCACATCAAGCAGCCCAGGGCCCCTCCCACCCCTAGGGGACTTCCTCCTGGGGACACTCACCCCTGCCCCTCCACGCAGTTCCAGGAGCCTCCACTCCTGCCATCTGCCTCCCCACCCCAGCACCTGGACACTGTCAGAGAGCATCCAATGTGTGAGTGACAGGGAACAGTCTCCCTTTGCAAAAACAAAACAAACGCCCTATTGCTCACGCCTGAAACGGTCCTTAGCACTTATTGCTTTTAGGAACATTAAGCTGGTATTAAAGGAAGTCTAGAAACCACTTTAAAATCTTCCACTCGTTCCCCCAACATGTGTTTGCTGTCACCCCTGACTGTGAGTGCTTATTTATTTGCTGTGTTCAGAGCTGTCTTCCCACCACGGGCTTGAGGGACGACTCCCAGGGAGCTCCTGACCTCAGCAGGGCTCTGTGGCAGTGGCAGACACACCCAGTGCCCCGAAGAGGCCCCTTCCTTGCTAGAGGAACGGGTGTTCTGGTAGACCTCCCATACTTCAACTCCTTGTTGGGAATGAGACTGTCATGGGACAGGGACGGGGTGTGTCTGGAGTCAGGGAGCACTGCTAGCCCTGAGCAGACGCCACCCTAGGAATGGCCCCACCCTCCCTGGGGTCCTCGTGCTTCTGGAAGCTGATGGAAGCCACAGCCACAGAGGACTGAGCTATGGCCCCACCACATGAGACTGTGACCATTGCAGGCCTGTAGCCCTGATACCCTTTGGGAAAAGACCCGGGGGTCCTGGGATGAGACTGGAAGGGGGTGCAGATGCCAGACGGCTGGAAAAGAGGGCGTGTGTCCTCCCTGTACCCCTCTCCAGGGCTTGTGTTTTTGCCTACAGTACACGTTTTACACTCAAGGAACACAGAACCTCCTGTTTAGGTGGCAAGCTGGGGCAGCATCGCCCTGAGATACGAGGCTCTCAGTCCAGGGGCCCACCTTGGAGAGCTCATTATTTACCCATTACAACCCGAGCTTGACCACCCAACTGTCTCATGAACCATGCATTTGGTCGTTATTTCTTACATCCTGGCACATGTACCACACACAACACAGATGCAGGGCCTGAGCACCGTGTGCTTCTCCCAGCTCCCCTTACAGGGCGTCCCTGGGAGCAACCCGTCACTTCTTATTCCCTCTCTTGGTTTTACTGTTTATTCTCTGTTATGGACTGAATTGTGTTGCCCCCCAAATTCCTGTGTTGAAGTCCTACCCCTAGTGCCTCAGAATGTGGCCTTATTTTAACAAGAGTCATTGCAGATGTCATGAGTTCAGACGCAGTCATCAGGGTGGCCTTACTCCAATGTGACTGGGGGACACTTGGGCAGAAACACTGGCACAGGGAAGGAATATGAAGACAGTCATCTACATGCTAAGAAGGCCTCAGAATGAAGCAGCCCTGCCGACACATCGATTGTGGACTTTTGGCTCCAGAACCTTGAGACGATAAACTTATGCTGGTAAAGTCCCGATCTGGGGTGCTTAGTTAGGCAGCCCGAGCAGATGCAAACGCTCCCTCAACAATCCATGGTCTGGTTTGCCGAGCTTTCTGAACTTTAAGTAAATGAGCCTTCATGCATACGTGCCTGTGACATTTGAGGCCATGTCTGAGTCCCCCAGGTGAATAACGGCGGCCTTCATGTCTCCCACGTGCAGTGGAGGAGGGGCCCTCTCTCTTGCGAGTTGACGGCGAGCCTACAGACCTCCCTTCTTCCACCTCTCTCCCTCTGTCTGCATTCAGGTCAACACCCCCGGGATCCTGAAAAGAGCTGCGAGAACTGCTAGATAATTGATATCTTCACAAGGGGGAGTTTCCCCAACACACATGGCTCTGTTTACTTAGCAATTCTTTGCTTTTCATCATCTCTAGTTTTCTGCACAAAGGTCTTTTATTTTTTGTTAGCCTTGTTCCAAGGGGCATTACTCTGCTTGCTTTTATTGTAAGTGGCATCCTGATGATGCTGCTGTCTGTCCATGGTTGGCCATGGGAACCAGACGAGGCTTCTGTGTATGGGGCTCATGCACCACCCTGAGTGACTCCATGGCTTAGTCCCCGGACCCCTTTCTATGTAGGGGATTGCGCCTACACCCAGACAGTGGCCTCCTCTCCCACTGGGCACCTTTCCTCTCTTGCTTTCCAGGCTGTCTAGACCTCCTGTGTGAGCTGAGCAGTTCCGTGATGCCCCACTGGGCCATGCACTCAATTCGCCCAGAAACTCTCTGCTTTTCCCTTCATGAGCGCCTGGGGGACCCCCTCAGAGCTACTCACCCTTCCAGCCAAGGGACACAGTCACTCCCTAACTGGGGCCCATAGCACCAGCCTATGGGTATGTCAGGAGCATGCACCTGCCTTGGACTGTGCCCCACGGACTGTCACTTTGGATGCTGCATTCTGATGAGCGTATAGCTCTGAGACAGGCAGGGCCATGCTGGGCGCACATGTTCCAAGACAGAGCCACGAAGATGGAAACCGAGGACCCGAGCAGAATCCTTGCACGACTCATGGTCTGTGACCAGGGTCTGAGGCACCACTGTGGGGGTGAGCTGCCCTCCAGGCTCCTTCACTGTCCGATGCCTAGAAAGGGCTGGAGAAGAGAGGGCTCCTCCTCTATCCTGGGGAGCAGCTGCTATGTGCCAATGTGGGAGCAGCTGAAGCTATAAATCAGGAAAATGAAGCCAGCCATAAAAATGAAAAGGAAACACTGTAAAACATGGGAGTGGGAACTTTTAAAATGCTCACAGATTAATATTCCAGGGCTAAAAGGGCCCATGCTGCATGAAAGGCACATTTCTCAGACAACCCCACCATGCCTCCAGTTTCACCCTCATATCCAACCTCATCCAGCGAGACAGGGGACTGTCCCCTCCACAGCCTCATCCAACATCTGGCCACAAACAGCAGGCTGTCCTCTTTCACAATGGGGCAGATACCACCTCTGCTATGGACTGAATGTCTGTGTCCCCCTAAAGCCCACATGAAACCTAACTCCTAATGCAATGGTCTTAGACGGGGCCTGTGGAAGGTGGTCAGGCTACGGGTGGGGCCCTCATGAATTGGATCAGTGCCCCTACAGCAGATGCCACAGAGCTATCTGGCTCCTCCATGTGTGGTCACAGCAAGAAGGCAGCTGTCTGTGATCCGGTAGAGGACCCTCCCCAGAACCCAGCCACACCGGCACCCTGACCTTGGACTCCCGGCCTCCAGAACCACGAGAAACAAAGGCCTATAGTTTTTAAGCAGCCCAGCCGGTGGTGTTGTCAGAGCAGCCTAAACGGACTGAGGCCACCTCTCTAGTTCCTGGGAGGAGACGAACTTTTCACAGCACCCACTGGAATGCATGTTTTTATGGAATGCCCCACCCAGCCAGGAAAGCACATGAACTGGATTCTTCAAGAGCAGCGACAGTGTAGCTACAGTGAATGCTGGCTCCTTACCCCGGCTCGGGGTCAGGAAGGAGCCGGCATGGGCACTAGGCCTGGCCTGGCCTGCCCTCCGGCCGGGACTGACCTTCTGCGCCTTCCGCATCCCTGCCTTGTGGTGGCAGCTGGGGATCCTCTTCCTCGTCCTCAGGGTCGGCTTCCTGTGGGGTCTCCTCCTTCACACTGCCACCAGCCTCCTCAAGGAGGGCTGCCCCCACCGTCCCCTCCCCTGGTGACTTGGGGTCTTCTGGCTTGGGCTTCTTGGGCTGGCTGCGTTTCCGGTGAGACCTGAAGAGGGAGAGTCATCAGACAGGAGGCGAAACTGACGGGAGAAACCCCCGGTCAGTGTACTCCACCCGGCAGAATGGAGCCTCCCAACCAGAGCTGGGGGACACGGGGGCCCAGTGGGGTGCTCCTGGGGGCAGGGAGTAGTGGAGGGAGAGAGGCCTGGGCGGGGGAGGGCAGTTGGGGTGATGGGATCGTGTCAAGCACGTGCTGATGAAAGTTGGAAATGAGATGACGGGATGGGACCCTGGCTCCAGGAGCCCCCGTGTGGTGCGGGCAGAAGGGTTGGGGAGTGTGACCACGATGGAAATAGCAGCTTGTGGTAAATGCCTAGACAACAAACGAAACAAAAGGTACACTTACGACAGCCCCGGCTTTTTGCTCTGCTCTTTCTTCCTCTCTAGATTTGGTTTTCTCTCCTCCTCAGTCTTTTTCCAGTGTCTGCTTTCTTTCAGACTAATTTGTCTAGAACGTAAATGTCAGGGAGTTTTTCTCTAGGACTTGTATTAACTCCCCAAGACGCCTCACCTAAGGGGCTCATCTCCGGCACATGCTTCCGTCCGGCTCTCTGTGCTCCCTGCGTCCCTCTCCACACACACTCAGGAGCTCCGGGCCCAGGGCGGCCCCTCCTCACCCCATCCCCAATGCCAGCCTCTGGGGCAGGGCCTGGGCTGGAGGGAAGGCATGTCCTCACACCCAACCTCGGCTCAGGGTGCAACAGTCCTAGGAACACGGGGGCAAACCTTGGCCCCAGTGAGAATTCAAGAGGAGGCTTAGTGATGGCTTCTTAGTGAACAAGAGGGAGAACTGGGGTTAAAAGGAAGAAAGGAAAGCGACAGGGGTTGGGCCTGTAGGTAAGTGGCTGGGGCACCTGAGGGGTTCTGGAAAACGGCGTCCAGGAGCCTTCCAGGGAGGGGCTGGTAGGCCGACAGGAGGTGTGTGGTGCCCCAGGAGCTTGGGCAGAGGTGGGCATGCGAGGAGACCCAGTCCTGGGCAGGGCAATAATGCTTTCCAGGGAGTGGGAGTGCCCCCGTGGCCGCAGGCCCCAGGCTCTCTGACCAGCCCCCACTAGCCTTTCGTCTTTCCTAGTCATTTCTGAGAGGCACTGGCTGCGGCTTCCCTCCACCTGTGTGTTCTCTATATGGCCGCAATGGGCTCAGACTCAGACATGGAGGCCCTATGGGGGTTCCTGTGGCAGCCACACTTTCAAGGACCAGTGGTCACCAAGGAGAAGCAGGGCTATCTGACTAGGGCTGGGTGGGGGCCCAGGGAGGCCCCGAGGGCTCCCAACATCAGGATCCCCACCCCCCACCCGGGGGTGCCTACAGCAGCCAGACCTGACAGCTTCCTTGCCACCTCCCCAGCCTGTCCCTGCTTTCCATATTGGCTTCTGGGGCGCCCCTCCTAACAGTGCCCTAACACTTTAACCTCTGCAGGTTGTTTTCATGGTTCGGCTGCCTAACTCAAGGGCCCTGGCCTCTGAGGCTCCATCTCCCCTGAGCCCAGGCAATGCCCAGCAGGCACGTGACAAGCCCCGCTTGATGTCTGCAGCATGAACACCCCATGATCAGAGGCGAAAAGCAGGGAGCATTCCGGGGTGGGGGGGGGCGGGAAGCATCATGGGCAGAGGCATGGCATCATACACAGCATGGCGTGCACGGGTCATTGCAGGGGAGGGGGGTGGGAGGACAGGTGGGGCAGGAGGGGACACAGGAGCTAGAGACTTAGGCCACCCTGGGGACACTCCACCACAACAGAGCCACCAATGAATCCACACAGGGCGAGTTTGGGAAAGTCTGGGTGTGGCCCCTCTCAGAAAGACAGGCAGAGAGCCCAAGGATCTGGCAGCTTTTGACACTAGCTATCATCTGAGGAGGGCCTGCTCTCCAAGTCTGGGAGTGCTGCGGGACTGCAGGGCCAGGTACCCAAAGCGAACCCTCACACTGGCCCCCGGGAGCACCCAGTAGAGGAGCGTCCTCCTACTGCCAACTCACCTGGCCTCGGTTTCCTGCAGCTGCCCGGCCCCTCTGCCCCTTTCTCGCCCTCCTCCCAGCAGACCCCGGGATAAGCCCCGGAGTCCACTTCTGACCCTGCCTTGTCTGCTCCCAGGGCTGTCCAAGGATGTCCTCACTGGGGGACCTCAGAGAGCCCAGGCTTTCCTCAGCCCCCAATGCTCCACTGGGTTCAGCTCTCTGGGGCACCACTGGGCCTCCCCCATGCAGAGACTCCCGGAATGGGCGGAACTAGGTAGACAGGCCGAGGCAGAGGGCCACACGCTACTACAGGGAGAAGGCAAGCTCCACATCAGCATGCAAAGAAACACCCATGTTGTGAGAACGTTAAGTTGGAAGAATAACAGGGGAAGAATTGGTGGCCAATCTGCCTCAGAATTTGGGGGTGAGGTGTCTACCAGGCATACCCTAAAACATAGTCTGGCCATCACAGCATCCCCCGGGCCACTCCCCAGACCCGACACCAACCGTCCTCTTTTAGCTGTTCCTTCTTGTAGTTACTTCCATGTGTCGCCCCACACTGCTTCCTTTGTTTTTTTTTTTGTTCTGGCTTTCTTGCTGAGTTACTGAGCTGCACAGACACTTAGGGTGTGGCCATGCTTCCTGTTTCCACACCCACCAACTTCTCTCCCTGCATCTGCCACCATCTTCGGTTGTGGTGGAATTCCATTTTTACGTTTTTCTGACTGTGTAAATATTGTTCATTCATGAGCAATGGAGCTGCTTGCATTGCATTCTTTGCTCGCTCTTCCTGGAGTTAGTAACTGGCCCCCTCTCTTAGATACTTAGCTTTCTCAGTTATCTCCAAGCTCTTGGTGTGGTCTCCTATGAAGGGTGTCACATACTCCTCGATGACATCCTTATCTTGAAACTAGCTTGGACTCTCCTGGGTTGGATTAGGTTTCCTTAATCCCATGTCTTTCCTGGCTGATGCCTTATTTGGCTGGAGCACATCCTCCAGTAGCTTCCTCAGAAAGGAGGGGAAATCTGGAACTTTGCATGTCTAAAAAGATCTTCATTACTCTCGCACATTTAGTTGGTAATTTGGTTGGTTACATAGTTCTAGCCTGAAAATTATTTCTCTTCTGACTTTTGAAGGCCTTGTCCCTTTGTCTGTTAAGATTGTAGCCTTATGATCGCTAAATCCGATGCCATTTGAGTCTCTTGTTCTTTATGTTGACAAACTTATTTGTTCTAGAACTTCTGGAGATCTTGTGTTTAACTCAAGAGTTGTAAAATTGCAGAGCGGTATGCCATGCATGGTGTGTGTAATTTTCATCCTGTGCAAGTCTTTGGGTCCCAGAAAACAGTTTTTCCTCTTTTCCTGAAACTCCGATAAAGGCTGGAGTTCTTCCATGGAGCCTCTGACCTGCTTTCCAGCTCCATCTCTGTGTGGCACTCTAGTGAGTTCCCCAAGCTCATCTCATCTCTCCCAACTCATCTCTTACGTTTTCTCTGCTCACATTTTAAATGTCCAAGAGCCACCTGTTTCCTAAATGTTTCTTTTTTACACCAGCAGGTTCTTCTATCATAAATGCAGAGGCCATGCCCACTCTTTGAGGAGAATGTGGAAGTTTTCTTCTGCTCCCTGCATCATCTCTTTCTGTGGAGTTCCACTTTTCCTTTTTGTTTGAGAAACTCTCTTTCGCTCTGGGAGTTTCCTCAGAGATTTAGAGACCCCTGGCTGAGTTGTGCGAGGGACTAAGAAGGCTGTTGGTTGCTGTTCATTGCAAGCAGGGCTTGCTGAAGTGGGTGGAGAAGGCAGGAGCTTCACGGGGAACCCCTATATCGAGATCTGTAGCTTTGCTCTGCTGGGCCCCTCTGTGACCTGGAGAGAACCCTTACATTCTCCAGGCTTGGGGTTGGGGGTACGCGGGGCTGGCAGCCAGGCTTCCATCACCCGAACCTCAGGAAGGCCCCTCTTTCCTGCCCAGAACCACCCAGGTTCAACCTCACCAGGCAGCACGGCCACGTCCTCTGCTGGGAGATGGGGTGAGGTCAGGGGGGCCATGAGCCAAGCAATTCCTCACACCTACCTCCAGCCCACTTCAGTCCCCCAACCCAGGAGGTATCTATGTCTCAGAACCTAGGCCTTTCCAGAGGTCCTCAGCACGAACCAGCCACCCCGTCTCCGGCCCACGGACTTGAGTTTTCTCTGTGCTGCAAAGTCAGGTATCGCCTGCCCATTCTTTCCTTCTTGTCAAAGTCTGCGGCTGCTATTCAGCTGTTACGGTCCCCTCTCCTGTTCTATCACCTCTTTATGGTCATTTAGTGGCATTTCAGGAGAGGATAGAGATAAACATTCACTTTATTTGTCAGGTTTAACTGGATGTCACTTGGTTAAGTTTATACAAACCAAACATTGGGACTGAATCCAAATACTTATACTAATATTTCCAAGATAAAAGCAGGTGTTCTTGGACCCCAGATGGCAGGAGAGGCAGGGTGGGGGGCTTCCCTTGGGCCACTGTCCCATGCAGTGGGCTCAGAGTGGCTCTAGGCCTGGTCACCGAGGGGTCCAGAGCACACAGCCCATCTACGCCCTAGGGCAGGGCTGTCAGCTCTCACAAGGGACTTCTGACTCCATAGGGAGAATTCGGGGCAGCCAAGGCGGCAGGTGCCAGCACAGCCCCTGGGTTCAGGAGCAGGGGCTGTGAGCGATGTACCCTGGGCCCTTCTCCCCCTTGTAGAGCCCCAGGACACGAGTCCCCTTTCCTCCCAGTGCTCCCCGCCCCCACAGATAATTAGGTGTGTGGTGTTTAGAGGCTTTTGCCTTAAAGAAATTGCACAGCGTGTTCTGGGGAAGAATAATTTAGGAAACATTCAGTAAGTCACCAGGGCAACAAGCTCCTCAGGGCCTGCCAGGCCCCAGGAGTCACAGGACCCATTCATGAGCGGCCAGGCGCTGTGTCTGTGGGGAAAGGCTCAGGACCTTGGCAGGGCCAGGGCAGCCCTGGCAGGAGTGGGGTCAGAGATACAATAGTGCCCAGCCTGGCTTGGGGCCCTGAGTGGGATCGGGAGGTATCAAAGAGGATACAGGAGCTGCTCCTGTCCCCTCATTTCTATGGTGACCCAAGGGTGGTGGGGGAGAGGTGGTGTGGGTGGGTGAGCAGGGCCGGAAGGCTCTTGGCCACGCTCAGCTGATGGTCTCCCCTGTGGGCAGCTGGGGGCCATGGCCAGTGTAGCCAGCAGGAGCTGGGGTGGGCCGGCGACCCAAGGGTCCTGGTGAGGCAGCGTGTCTCCTCTCCATCCTCCCTGCATGGGTGTGGTGGTGGCAGTTCGTTTCTTGAGCTCTCGTTAGAAACAAAGAGAACGCGAGAGGAATGGCAGTCTGCACACGGAGAAGCGCTGTGTGTAGGAACTGGAGGAGGGAAGCCCGGCGGAGACCAGCCTGGGCACAGTGCCATGGTGGCTTGTGCCAGCCAAGCAGGGATCCCATCTGGTGGTAAGGGCCAAAGGGGCTGCACAGCAAGGAGCAAGAAGGTCCCAGCTTTGTGCCCTATTTGTCACGTGGCAGGGTCAGTTGTTCTGACAAGATTTAGGCATAGAAGATAAATCCACAGGAGGGTGACGAGAACCCAACAGACATTTTCTCCCAGCGGGACCCACACCTGGCCTCTGATCCAAGAAGACATGTGGGGTGCAGTGTGGGGGGCTGTCAGGAAGGCTGGACTGTCATGGGGTGAGGGTGGGACCTCACTGAGCAGGTCTGAGCAGGGACCAGGGAGAAGCTGCAGGTACCAGAGGATGAAGAGAGGCTGCACGGAGAGGGGTGGGGGCAGAGAGACAGCAGACGGGCACAGAACCTCTGTCTGGGAACACTGGGTGGTGTCTGGGGACATCTGTGGTTGTCACGACTGGGGGAGCTCCTGGCATTGAGTCGGTGGGGGCAGGAATACTGCTCAACACACCACAGTGCTCAGGATGGGCTCCCACAGATAACAACCACCCGAGTGTCCACAGTGTGGGGGAGGGGGACAGGAAGGAGGGCTACAGCACCCTGGTCTAGAAGCCAGATCTGCCCCTATTCCTATCTAGCACAAGCCACTCTTCCCCCAAAACAAACTCTCTGAGGCTCAGGGTAGCCCCCCTAAGTGGAGACCAGGCGCAGTTAGGCAGGTGCAGGACAGCAATGTGGAGCGGGCACAGGGCCAGGAGAGAAAGGCACAGGCAATTCTGAGTCACTGACGCTCAAGCAGAGGGGCTTTCAAACATCAGTCCCCCAAATCAACCTTTTCAGAGAAAACCCCCCCACCATGACTTAAAGCGAATCAGCCTCATTTTACATACTGAAGGCTCTAAAGAAAATTGTATATTGGGAACACAACTTAATTTGTTATTCAGTCCCACTGCTGGAATATTACAGCTCCCCAGGTCAGAAGCAAGGGAGGGCGGGGCAGGAGAGAAACGCTCCAGAAAGGAACGGAGCGTGACAGGTGCCCAAGAACCCTCCAGTGAGGGCCGGCTGGGAGGGCCGGCTGGGCTGAAGGCCGGTGGGGAGGTGGTTGGGGGGCTGGGGGCGGCTTCCTCTGCGCACAGACGTCCTAGCTAGGGCGAGCAGCTGGGGCCCCTGGTCCTCTAATCCCATCCATTTCTGGAGCGTAGCGCCTGTTTATTGGCAGTCGGCTCTGTTGACCAATTAGCCTAAGCCACAGCCAATTAGCCATTATGCAAATGCTGCATCTCATCTCACTCTGTTCAGCAAGCTTGTCCTGCTGGGAAAGCTGCTGCCACCATGTGGCCTCACAGAGAAGTCGCTTTTCTTGAGGACACACAGGAGAGTGGGGAAATCAAAAGGACAGACAACAAAAGAAATGAGAAGAGAGGCTCACCTTCAGGTGGGCTGTCAGGAACAGATGTGAAAACATTCTGAACTGAGGAACATTCTCAAAGAGAGAGGCCAAGGGGTGGGGAAACATGCGGGGAGGCCGAGACTGCCCCAGATTTGTGATTCACACAGACACATTGAAAAACAGAACAGCCCTGTTGGGGGAGAAGGTTCTTGACCAGGCGTGACGGCTCTTCAGGATGATTTTTCCCACAAAGAGATCCAAGGGTGTTTCTGTCGAGTGTGGGAGTGCCACCAACGGGGCGCTGGCGAGCCCCCACCCCCTCAGTGGTCAGGCCCTGGGGCCAGCTGTGCATCACGAGAGAAGCTGGAAGTGACAGAGAGGGGCTGCAGATGGAAAGCCTCGCCCGAGGATCGGATCCGCCTGCTGCCTGTTTTGGTACAGCCCACAGACTAAGAACGGTGTTTCCATTTTTAAATGGTTCAAAAGTTAAAGGAATGATAACATTTTGTGGCACCTGAAAATTATATGAAATTCCAACTTCCGTGTCCACAAATAAAGTTTTATTGGAGCACGCCCTGCTGTTTACTGAATGTGCACTGTCGGGGAGTGTTTGCGGAGTCGAGACAGAGACCATCTGGCCAGCTAAGCTGTAAACAGCAGCACTCTGGCCCATCCCTCCCTGCCACAGTGCACACCCAGGCCCAGCGAGGACTTGCTGAATGTCTCTTGGGCAACAAAAAGGAATCCGTTAGAACTCTGTGGGAGCAGCTCTGAGCCCTGAAAGCCTGGACATTTCTCAGAGAAGGAGCAAAATGGGGACTGAAGCTTCCAGGGTTGCATGGCACTGTGGGAGCACAGTGCTCCCTGCCATCTCACTCCTGGCAGGAAGTCTATTTCCTCCTCTGCCCAGGCCTGCCATCCAAGCCCCATAGCCTTGATGTTGGAGCCAATAGGATGCAGCCAATTCACCTTCTCCTCCCCGGCAAGACTCTAGGCGTGCGGTTGGGCAGCCACCATGCTGCCCTGGAAGGTTGGGGTTGGCAGGGGGCTTCCTGAGACAGAATGGGGTGGTAAAGGATGTCCCTAGGGAGCCAAGCCTCTCAGTTACCTCCGTGACAGCAGATGTGAGCAGTACATTATTGGAAATGTCAAAACAAACAACCAGATGAGAAAGGGTAGGGGCCAGCACAGAGTGCCAGGCTCCCCTGTGCCCCGTGACTCTAGCACGGGACCTGCCATTGCTACAACCAAGAAGAGGCCCAGCAGCCCCTACCCAGAGACACAGGGCTATCGTACCCAGGGTCACAAGTAGAAGAGGAAGAGGGACAGCAGACACCACCTGCCTCGAGGCCCGCTGACTGCACATGCAAGAAAGTCGGGGCCTGGGAAATATGAGGACACTCTGCCTCAGAAGCAGCAAGAAAGGGAAGAAGAGGTGGAGGAGAAAGAGAGAGGAAAGGAGGGGGGACAGCCTGCAGCCACCAGCTAGTGGGGAGTGGCTGGGGCAGGGGTCACTTATGGTGTCACCAGCAGAGCCAAGCCCAGCGAGGCTCCTTGGTGACTCACCTGCGGAGGAGCTTGGCTTTGAGTGAGGCTCGGGAGGTGCTCCAGGAGCTGAGCTCGGGGCTGCTCAGGGCCGTGGGCCTGGTGTGGTCGAGCACCGTGAGGTCTTTGCCTTGCTTCCACAGCTCGTAGCGTTCAGGCTGCAGGATGCGCACGAAGACGTCCATGGAGATCTTGACCATGTCCTTCCGGCACGTGCACTGTGGGAGGCAGGAGAGACACCCTCTGAGCCCACGGGAGAGCCACCCACTTAGACAGAAGCTAGAGCTTCTATCATGAGACAGGAAATGGCACCTTCCTGTCCCAAGTAGAAGGCCACCGAATATCCTTTTCCGAGCTGTACTCCCCAATGTGAGCCTTTGGTCCACCCCAATGTGGTCACCACCACCTGGCACACGGTGCCAAGAAATGAGAGAAGGTCCTATGCTGCGAAGAGCTCAAGGACCAGCAGGCCTGAGACCCAGCGCAGGAGCCAGAGGCCTCACGGGGCTGAGTTCAGGCTGCCTCTTTTCAGTTCAAACCAAACCTCCTGGAGGTCAGACACGTGCGCCCCCAAGTAGGTACAAACTCAGATGGACTCTTTTATAACAGCAGTTATAACCAAGGGTTAAAAAGAGGGAAAAGGGCCGACCGAGTGGCGCGATGGTTAAGAACTGGCTTGGGACGCCAGAGGACCCCGGTTCGGATCCCACATATGAGGGCCAGTGACACTGCCCTCCACAGCTAAGATGCTGAACAACAGCTCGACCTGGAGCTGGGCTGCCGAGAGTCGCCGGCGACGGCATAGGCTGCAGCCCCTGTGGCAGTGGGTTTCCATGGGCTACCGTATGTAGCCAGCAGCCAGCGTGAGCGGCCAGCAGCCGCAGTGAGCGGCCGTCCAGAAGCCGACTGATCTGTCTCGCCCAGGAAGAGCGCAATGATGGTGCCAACTTGGGCCAGTGAAGCAACGTCCTCCACAACTAGACTGAAGAATAAAAAACGATAGCAACTTGTCTGTTCCCCTTCCCCCAATTCCCCAGCACTGTTCCCATCCCCCCAATTCCCCAAAAAAAATATTTTAAAAAAAAAAAAAAAGAGGGAAAAGCTGCCAGTCCCAAAGACGATGAAGGAAACTAATGTGATTTCCAGAAGGTTATGTCACACACCCCTGCTCGGAGTCCCTATCTCGCAGCGTTCGAGAGAGGAAGCTGAGGACCTAGGTAGGGGAGGCTCAGCAACTTCTCCCAGGGGGGCCAGAATTAGACTGAAGCGGCCTAGTGAGGAAGGGAGCTGGAACACCATGTACCAGGTGGTCGGAGCAGATGCTGCCCTGGACAGTGAGGGGGTGGATTTGGGGGGGGGGCTCTGTGTCTGGGAGCTTCAAGCAAGGAGCAAACGTGTGTGACAAGGATTGATTGAACTAGGGTCCCTCATACTCTGAACACCACCCCCTCCAACAAATCACATGCTCCCAGAGCCTCTCTCTCCATGTCGTAGCATCAGGGTGGCCCCCAGGGCTGGGCACTGTGCAGGAGGCATCGCAGGTATCCTGGAGACACTGACACTTGGAGGAGTTGTAGATCAGGGAAGCCAGCCAAGAGTCCTAGAAACTGGTTTCCGACAGGGAGCCCTCAGTCGTGGGAGGAACCCAGGAGGCACTGGTCTCCCACTTACCTCAGAAGGTCAAGATTGGGCTAGAAAAGCATCGTACTGTGAGAGGGAGGGGAACCTCTGGTCTAGGGCAGGGTTGGCAAATTCCAAAAAAGGGCCAAACAATAATTTTCTCAGCTTTGTGGGCCACAAAGTCTCTGTCACAACCTCTCAAATCTGCGCTGTAGCTAGGAAGCATCATAGATGCTACAAAAATGAATGGGTATAGCTGTGTACCAATAAAACTTTATTTACAAAAACAGGCAGAGGGCTGTATTTGGCATAGGGGGTAGTTTTCTGGCTCCCGATCTAGGCTCCAGAGGCTAGAGCAGCCCCTGGAAAGGGAGGCTGACTTCTGGAAAAAGAGTCTCCACTGGGATGGCTGAAGCTATCTGGAAACTGTGTCGAGGGAGGGACGTACAGAAGACAAGGGGTTCTCAGGGGTGACCTTGACCTTAGGGTGCTGCACTTGCCTCCCTCTAAAGTGAGCACAGTCCTTGCCTCTTGACTCTTTCAGGGGACACACACAGCTGGGGACACACCTGTCCTGAGAGCTGTCACAGGAGGCCTTGTGGCAGCCGCCCCTCAGGGATGTGCCTGGGGCCACCTGCACTGCAGCCCCTGCAGCTGGGAATCCAACTGCCCACTGGGAACTCCAGTGGACACTCTTCTGCCTCCCTGTCAAATAAACAGGCTCAGAAGCAGCTCATTTCCAAAACTGTAGCAAAAATCCCATTTCCATTTTAAATGCACATCTCATCTTCCTTAGACAACCTTCTCACTGTCACTGCCACCTTCTCAATGGAAATGAAGGAAACAGAAAGGAAAAGCCTTAATTAAATGCTTTTAATTTAATATGTACCTTGCCCTGACAAGCCTTCCAAACTTTCCTCGATTTGCTCGTGAAACAGTGAAGTATTTATGACCCCAATTCGGAGGCAGCTGGGGGTAAGGATGCAGGGGAGGCTGCGGAAAATGTCCTGGGAATTTCCTGCAGCCCCAGCACCCTCCACCCTCCCCGCTGCCAGCCTGGACGCCCGGGCTTGGACTGGGGGACAGCAATGACAAGACCACGAGCGAGAGGGAATATTTATGACCAAGCGATTCCCAGCAAACTCAATTCATTTAATGAAAAATTGCGCAGCACAGAAAGGTTGGCAGTGTAATTTGGCTGCGGAGTGGTGGGAGCACAGATGGTGCCCGTGTTTCAGATTCCTGGCCGGGCTTCGGCCTCCCCAGCGTCGCCATCAACAGCAGCTTAAGGGATTTGTATTGAGCGACTCTGCAATTGCTTTTCCTTAAGTAATTAAAAAAAGCACCTGTGTGAGCCTGTGGAGAGGGCACGTGGACAGGTGCCATGGAGCCACCTACCCTGCCTGGTGGCCTAGAGCCTGGCCCTCACCCCCTCGTCAGGCCAGGACTAAGCCACTGGGGACAGCCATCCTCACATCTCTGTGCGGGTTCTAGCTGGGGTAGAGTTTGTCATGTGTGGGGGGATGGAGATTTGGGGAGCATAGGCACCCAGGGAAGAGACAGTAGGAACAAGGCAAGGTCCTGTGGGTCCTAGGGGTAACGACTGTCAGCCTCCCAGGTTTAGGACACAGTGATAGTCACCTCCATAGGCTGAGCGGCTGAGCTCATCAGGGGTGCAGGCACTGCAGACCCATCGCAGTTTCTGCCTGAGAGTTTGGGAGAGGAAGCTGCTAAAGCAACTTTCCGGGGCTGACCATGCCAGATCCCAAAACAGCTCCCCCACATGGCCATCATCTGTTTTTAGGCCAAGTGCATAGTGGACTGTCAAGTGCAGCTGCTTCATTTCAGGGGCCCAGGAGCATGCACGGAGCGCCTCTCCCCTGCAGAGGCCGTTCTGGAGGGGACTTTAGGCAGGCTGTAGGCTAAAGGCTGGTGGCGGAATCCTCAGGGCAGCCTGGGAGCTGCACCAAGGGAAGGAACTGAGGCCGAGAGAAAATCGCACTATTTGTTTTCATTAACGAGGCCCCAGATCATCCTCCCCCTCTCGCCCCTGTCTGGCTCCCAAAACTTCTGGGATGGCATTTTCATAAGGAACTGCTGGAGTGACGAGCTGACAGTTTCTGATGCTCTCATTCCAGCTCCTCTATTTGGCAGTCTCCCGTCTCAACACAGCGACAGAGACAGAGTGTGCTCTCCAAGGGGGTTTAACCGTGTCATTAGTTTCTGATGGAGAAATAGGGCACAATTAGGGGAGGAGGTCTAAGGGACCCCCTGCACTCCTGAGTGCGCTCCAGGGCTCTCTATACCCTGGCGGGGGCATAAAGCACTCAGCCACCAGAACCACAAGGGGCAGGGCCTCCCCCTCTGAGAGCAACTAGGTAATGAGGCCGCAGAGCAGCATGAGTCCTGCTCATATTAGCCAGGGCCCAGTGACTGGTGGTTCCATTAGTGCTCAGTGGGGCATGTGGGGACAGATGAAGGAGTCAAGGCAAGAGGCAGAGAGGTGCGGGGGTGGGGTGAGGGTGCAGAGGGCATGGCCTGTCCCCCTACAGATGGTCTGTTCCCAGACAAGCTCATTATCAGTGGGTCTCTACCCTAGGCCAGCCTGCCTGCCTGCCTGCCTGCCTGCCTGCCTGCCTTGGGGTCAGCCTCCTGTACACAGAGTGGGCCTGTCTAGGGAGGGCTCAGACCCACCCACTGGCCTGTACCCCAATCCTGGGCACAGAACCTATGGGCCCTCCCGGTTCACCAGTGATGCCGACCTGCCAGCAGAGTGAAGCAGCACGATTTGGGCTGAGGCTGAGTGGGCACCCCTCTCAGCTCCCCCAACACGCGTGAGCAGAAACTGGCTCTCAGATGGTGCCTGACATCAACAGAGGCCTGACAGCCAGCAAAGTGCACCTCAAAGAGCCCTTGACAGCGCCAGCACCACTGTTCCAGGGGCTGCCTGTGCTAGTTTAATTAATCAGTGGAATGTGTTCAATGGCAGGAGGAACAAGGGCTGTTTCAAGTGACAGCAGAGAGAAGCCACAGCTCCACCCCCTGCAAACCCCCCAGAGGAGGAGGGACAGGACAGGCTCTGCCACCATCCCCCCACATGGCCCCCAGCAAGGCCAAGCTGCTGGAGACAGCACACACCAGCTGCCAGCTGGACAGAGACGCTGGAGCCTCGCAGCTCTGACAAGCCCTGGATAAAATGCAGAACGCGGCTCCTTCCACACTTGAGGCAAGTGCGGCCCTCACCTCCCCCTCCTAGGGATCTTGCCCAAGGAAGTGAGAAATCCAGATAAAGCCATTCTCTGCTTCGTTACTGAGAGAAACACACACACACACACACACACACACACACGCACGCGCGCGCCATGGACAGATTAGATAAATAAGCCTGCCCAACGGCACCATTTAAAAACAGAAACATTCTTAGGGTGGATCTGTTATCTGAAGAAATACAAAATGCACAGTCAAGAATAGAGCAAAGCCCTAATTATGAGCAAAAATCTTTAGAAAAAGCCAAGGAGATTCATCAAACACCAACCATAGTTCTTTTGATTGTGGCTTGCCACCTGTTTTTTTAAATAAAGTTTTATTGGCACACGGC